ACGCTCCTGGAGCGATACCAAGGAGATGCACTGCAAGGCAGTGACCTGTGTGTCAGAGTGTGGGGGAATCCCCAGGCCCCGCACCTCCGTCCGCAGCCAGATGTGGCTCTCAGACAGCAAGTAGAACAGAAGGGTTATTGGTTCACAGGGACACAGCGTAGCTCAGACTCCTTGTGACAGGAACCAGGAACGTTCAGTTCAGCCCATCTTGGGGAAAGGGGGGCTCGGGGCCCCAGCTCTGGGCCCCTTCCCTGGTCCTGCAGGCCAGCTAGGCTGCCTTCTCCCCCAGCCAGTGGAAAACCAACTCACGCTCACAGCCCTGCCTCCTGCTTTGTCCTGTTTCCAGGCCCAAGGTGTTATTTGCTGTCACCTGGTCCTTAGGATGTGAGAGACTGAATAAGTGAGTCGTGCCCAGTCTCCCTCTCCTCATCCAGACAGTGCTGCAGTGCCAGGGAAACTAAGGTGTGCGCGTGCACACACACACACAGTCACTGGAAAGCAGCACAGTACCGTAGCATCACAGAAAGCACAACAAAGCAACCAGTGAATGCAACAACAGAGTGACACCATGGCTACAAGAGTGAACACAGCCTCCATTACATCACAACATGTAACACATTGGTGTGAGCTGGAAATGCAGGGGTTTCATCCACTGTCATTCTAAGCAGCCATTTTGGGTGTTTCCAAGCCAAAAGATATAATTTATTCTGCATTTTGAGCACCTTTGCACTCTCAGCCCTGTTTGTGCCAAGTTCTGTGGGCAGGGGCCTGCCTCTTGCTCACAGCTTAGCTTGGCTTTATGTTAGCCATGTTTTGTCCATTGCTAGCTAGGCCTTGGGCCTCAAACCAGGCCTGTGCTACGTGGGCTTATGTTTTAGGCCTTCATCTTAATACAGAGGGAACATTTTTTGCTGCTTTTCAGGATTTTAGATAGTCTGCTGTAAATTTTAAAGGCAGTGAGTGGGGCCTCTTCCCCTGGCATTAAAAATCCATCAGCCTTGGAAATGGATGTGTGTGTGCTTAATTCCAGCTCCTTTCCGGCTTTTACGCTCATGCACTCCGGTTTAGTACTTCTGCTGCTGCTTTTTCCTGCAGCTGTGCCAGTCCATATTGCACTGATCTCTGAGAGACTGACCACTGTTCTGAGATGCACCAATAAGGAAAGTGAAGCTGCAGCCTTCAGTTCTCGGATTCAAATTAATATTTGTGCCCCAACACTTGAACAGCAGGATCAGAGTGTGAGTATTGTAATAATAAGCAAATGGGGCAGGTTGAATAAATGTAAATACTTGTCAAAAGCTGTCATGTCTCTGAAGAGCAGCATGCACCTTGCAGTGCTCCATAGAGAATATAAACGTATATTTAGCCTTTCAGAAGTCTTTGGCTGCCTGGTGAAGAGACCTAGAGGGGCACAGTATGCTAAGTAAATCTTTCAGATGGATAGGCTTTCTTTACAAGACACATGTCTGGACGTTAATTGGGAAGATATAAAGCATTATATGGTATTATAATACAGGACTTTAATTTCAGTTTCTTGGCACTCGTGATCTTGTGTACATATTATAAACACTAACTGTTTTCCGTAAGACTGTGTGTTGGGAAACTGAATGTATAGACACCTCATAAAACTAACCTTAGACACGATCCATGGAGTAGAAATGAATGAGATGTCTTTTGTTCCAGGTCATTGACCTCTTACTGACATCCTTTTGCCAGAATCTAATAGCTGCTTCCTATTTTGATCCTCCTCACAGGTAAGATGCATAGTGCACATGCAGGCAGTTCCATGCTGCTCAGTGCCCCATAATACTTGTACTCTGCAAGGGTCTAGGAAGGCCCTCTCCCCCCCTCCTTATTCAGAAGTGGGATATGTCTTACTGGTGTCTTCAGGCACTTTTTGCACCACAGTGGTTCAGGATAAAGCAAATACTTTGCTAGATGAGAGTAAAGTACCAGGTGCTGCCCCACTGTCATTGAGTCTCCTTGAAATAAGCTGCCTACTATGTGATAGGCCTTTTAAAATATCCCTCTAGCTACTGCTGCCTTTTTGCGATATTAACACTGTTGTAAGTATGGGGTTGCTAAAAGGGCACACTTCCCCAATTATCACCCCTAAGGTCATTACCTCACAGAAACTAACCTTCCCCCCTCACTCCCACTCTGTTCTAAAATTTGATTTGTCAATTTCACATGGGTTCATTTTTTTGATTGTATCACTTTGGTATATATGGTTGTGCCGATTTTCTTCCACATATTAATCTGAGGAAGTGGGTCTGGCCCACGAAAGCTCATCACCTAATAAACTATCTTGTTAGTCTTTAGTGCTACATAGTTCTGTCTTTTGTTTCAGCTACACCAGACTAACACAGCTGCATCTCTATCACTGGAGCAAAGTTTGATTTTTATTTTTTGTAGCACATTTTGTCTGAAACAAATCCAATCAGACGCTGAATATTTTTCTTTGCTTCTGTGCGTAAAGCACTAAAGTGCTTTGTGAGTTTGTGATGGACCGGGCCAGGTCTGGGCATGGCTGAGGGCGTCTGCTTAGGGTGAATTGCTCAAACTCAGGGCTCCTTACGGCCCCTCACTGGAAGCCCTTCCCAAATAGGCCACAAACCAGTCACACAGAGCACTCCAGCTGCCAGCCTGGCCAGCCAGAAGCCTCACGAGCAAAACCCCTCTGACATCCCAGCTCTCCCTGTGCTCCAGTCAGTCCCAGGCCTGCACACAGGTGAGGGGTTATAGAACCCAATCTCACCTACCCCAAACGGGTTCTTCCCGGTCCCAAGAAACCAGCCACAGTTCCCAGGTCAATTTACACTCTGGATCTCACCCACAAGCTCACACTGAGCCAATCCTTTAGAATCTAAAATCTAAAGGTTTATTACTAAAAGAAAAAAAGCATGAGAGTAAGGTTGTTAAGGATAATACGTCACATGCATCGAATCTCCCAGTTCTCAATACAAGCTCTTAGCAGTTTATAACATCTCTGCTATCTTAAAAGTCTCTGGTGTACATCCTATGTCAGGATGGGTCCACAGTTCTTTCCGGCTCATGGTTCCCTGCAAGGCTGCATCTGGGATCAGGAGCTAAACTGAAGACCAAAATGGAGTCTGCCACATGGCATTTTATATCCATCCCTGGTCTCTTCCATGCTGGAGAGGGTCACATGGTCAGTGGTCAGGTGTGTCTTTGGCATTTAGAGATCCATTGTCCCTGGAGCTCGCTCGTTAGCATATCCATTGGCTGAGCATTCCTCGCCTGTTGCTCAACCACAGACAGAGAAGTTTCTGGCATCCATACAGAGTACATATTTATAACTCCACATACAGACATTATACAATTACATGAACAACATCTACAGAATAAGTAGAAGGTAAGCTTTTGTTTGACACCTCACATGCCCCACCCCTTGTATAAATTTTGGGGCAAATACAGCCCCCATGGGTCAGCAGTGATCGGGCTGCTCCCCTTAAAATCCAGTAACGTGACAGAGTTATTTTTGGTACAGCCAGTGCAGCTCTGTGTCAAGGCGCCCCAGCCATCTGCCACATGAAATGGATGAAGCATAAAGCTTACTGCTGAGGAGACATCATCAAGAGCAGAATAAAGCATTTTATTTTTCACTTTGATCTTAAACCTGGGCGTGCCTCACTTTATTTCAGAAATTAAATATATGTTTGACCTGACAAATGGAAACTCTGAAAGTATGACTAGATTTCACTGTGCTTTACCCCAAGTGCCTTTTTGCAAGAGGAATACGGCGTTTGATCATGTGTGTCTGTTAGCAGAAATTTGTAAATGTTATGGTTAAAGTAGTTTCTTAGACAGAAACTTTAAGGGCAACTTCCAAGCTGCCTGCCATCCTGTAACTTAGACTGTAAGCTACTTGAGGCCAAGACCTTTCCATGCCACATGGCGCCATGCACATATAGTGATACATATTTCAGTTAGAATGGTGCTGAATGGATTCCGTTGATGAAGTGATAGTTGTGGGGTGAAGGTGCTTCAGATGCAGGATGTTTAACTGTCTCTTAAATCCTATTCTGCGTTAACCTTTGGCAGTAACATGATCACCTGCCTTGTGTCTTCTGTAGGCAGGGGCTCTGCTTGTCTCTGTTTGTGAAGATGATTTGTGGACACAGGCATCTCTTATCTGCCCTGTTGACTAGGCTCTGTCAGCTTATTTATCATCAGGTTAGTTTCCCAGCATAAAGAATTTGATGGTAGCCATGTGTATTAACCAGTGGGGGCTGGAGCAGCTCCCTGCCTATGGTGGGCGGGGGCCTGCTGCAGACCGGGGCTGCTCTGGCCCATGCAGCCTCACCTGCACTCCTGCCTGAACCTCCTTTACTTGATTAAACAATATGTTTAACCAATTAAATGGGGTTTTACATCCCTAATATAGAGGGGATTTCACTAACTTCTACTTTTCCAAAAGAGTTCTCATTTTAACATACTTTTCAAACCTGGCCTCAGAAAATGCAAAAGTCGTGTCCTTGCAGTAATGTAACTTGGCCATATTGTTCTGTCTATGGAGCGCATTTAACAACATGAACTGGAATATACTAACTTTATGTGCATACACAAAAAAGTGTGTAACGTGGTCAGATTAACTCTTGTATTTCTAGACTTTCTAATAGTTAATTGTACAGCCTTATTAGTAACAAAAAACTATGTATTTAATGCATAATAAGGATGAAGCACTGATGTTTAATTAAAAGCAGCACTTGAGCATTAGAGACCCGGAGTAAATGCTGTATCTGTCTCAATCATTTTTGCCTCTTCTAATTTTCATTCTGAGCTGATGCAGGTAGTATTACATGTCTAGTAATTTTTCAGTTCTGCAGCTAGATTCTGTGTTGCATCTCTCAGGAAGCACAGCACAAAAGATCAGTTCCAGGAACAGGGTTATGGGGACCAAGATGACTTCATACTACTGATCTTAACTTAATCCTTCCAGTACAACAGGGTAATGAGGCTAATAAATTAATCTACATGCCACAGAATCTGCAAAGCCATTGGCCTTTAAAATTGTTCAGTAGTGTAATTGCAGAGAGCTGCATCAAGGTACTGCTGTCGAATTCTCTTATTTCTCTTGTAGAAGCTGACCAGAAACCGCGTCACAATTCTGGACAAGGAGGAAGTTGTCTAATTTAACTTGGTGCCTTCTATCCGCCCAGTTGCTCCTTTACACTATCCTAGTCACTGTCTGGTTGCAATATTCTGCCCTTTGATTAGTTTGAGGTTAAATTGAGATTGTGTTGTTTTTTAACAAATGCTGTGCATCTTTTCATTTGTTTGACTGCAGGGTCCTGCCCTAAATAATGCTCATGTTTTAGGGCTCGCTGCCTTAGTGATTCATTTAAATGAATCCAAATCTTTGATTCCTGAAGTGGAGATTGTATCCAAAGTTCCCCAGTTTGCCTCTGTAAAGGGCCTTTCTGTTACGGAGTTCTGGAACCATTTACTAGTGTGCAGGACAGGGGAGTCCTTAGCCTTCTGCCTGAGGTGAGTTTCTTCTTTCATCACATATTAGATTTCCCTGTTTTGAGGGATCACTTGAATTTGGCGCAGATGGGGATTTGGAACAGTCCATCTGCCATGCAGTGGATATCCCTCTGATGTATGTGTGGCATTTACACTGTTGGACATGTTAGTGCTTAGGTTGAACATTTGTATTTGAAAACTAAACTTAAAAGTAGACACGTTAGACCAGATGAGCCCCAGATTTGCCCACCAGTGGTCTGCCTAAGACGTTTGGGAGGAGCCCCAGGATTGCTTCTAATTAGCATGAGTTGGAACAGACTGAAGCCACCCTCATCTTTCAGTGTGGAGGTGTGATCCATGGGAAATCCTTCCTGGTCCCTCAAACCAAGGCAAAGCTTTTTTTGTTGGTTCTTGTGATCTTTCTGGATTTGCTGGATTCAGTGGATATAGTGTACTTAGATTTCCAGAAAGCCTTTGACAAGGTCTCTCACCAAAGGCTCTTGTGTAAATTAGGTTGCATTGGGATAAGAGGGAAGATTCTTTCATAGATTGAGAACTCATTAAGGGACAGGAAACTAAGAGTAGGAATAAATGGTAAATTTTCAGAATGGAGAGGGGTAACTAGTGGTGTACCCCAAGGGTCAGTCCGAGGACCAGGCCTATTCAACTTATTCATAAACGATCTAGAGAAAGGGGTAAGCAGTGAGGTGGCAAAGTTTGCGGAGGATACTAAACTGTTCAAGATAGTCAAGACCAAAGCAGACTGCAAAGAACTTCAAAAAGATCTCACCAAACTGAGTGCCTGGGCAACAAAATGGCAAATGAAATTTCATGTGGATAAGTGTAAAGTAATGCACATTGGAAAAAATAACCCCAACTATACATACAATATGATGGGGGCTAACTTAGCTACAACTAATCAGAAAAGAGATCTTGGAGTTATTGTGGACAGTTCTCTGAAAATGTCCACACAGAGTACAGCGGCTGTCAAAAAAGCAAATAGAATGCTAAGAATTATTAAAGAAGGGATAGAAAATAAGACGAAGAATATCTTACTGCCCCTATATGAAACTATAGTACACCCACATCTTGAATACTGAGTACAGATGTGGTCTCCTCACCTCAAAAAAGATATTTTGGCATTAGAAAACGTTCAGAAAAGAGCAACTGAAATGATTAGGGATTTGGAACGGGTCCCTTATGAGGAGAGGCTTAAGAGACTGGGACTTTTCAGTTTAGAAAAGAGGAGACTGAGGGGGGATATGATAGAGGTATATAAAATCATGAGTGGTGTAGAGAGGGTGAATAAAGAAAAGTTATTTACTTGTTCCCATAATAGAAGAACTAGAGGACACCAAATGAAATTAATGGGTAGCAGGTTTAAAACTAATAAAAGAGAGTTTTTCTTCACACCATGCACAGTCAACCTGTGGAACTCCTTGCCAGAGGAGGCTGTGAAGGCTAGGACTATAACAGAGTTTAAAAAAGAGCTAGATAAATTCATGGAGGTTAGGTCCATTAAAGGCTATTAGCCAGGGGGTAAGGAAGGCTGAGTTTGGAAGCAGAGAGAGCAGGGGACACTGCCCCCCTAGTCTTTTAAAAGAAGAATGAACAGTTCTTCCCTGTTCATGTTTTTGTTTCTTCAACAGGGAAGAGTGGGCAGGTCTAAGACAAACATGCTGAGCACATTCTGTCAGGAAGGACAGACAGGGAAAAAAGGGAGGAGGGGTTGCCTTGTATATTAAAAATGTACACACTTGGACTGAAGTGGAGATGAACGTAGGAGATAGCTGTGTAGAGAGTCTCTGGGTTAAGCTAAAAGGGGTAAAAAACGAGGGTGATATCATGCTAGGAGTCTACTACAGGCCACCTAGCCAGGTGGAAGAGGTGGATGAGGCCTTTTTTAAACAATTAACAAAACTATCCAAAGCCCAAGATTTGGTGGTGATGGGGGACTTCAACTATCCAGACATATGTTGGGAAACTAACACAGCGAGGCACAGGCTATCCAATAAGTTTCTGGACTGCATTGGAGACAACTTTCTGTTTCAGAAGGTTGAAAAAGCTACCAGAGGAGAAGCTGTTCTGGATTTGGTTTTAACAAATAGGGAGGAACTAGTTGAGAACTTGAAAGTGGAAGACAGTATAGGGGACAGTGATCATGAAATAATAGAGTTCATGATCTTAAGGAAAGGTAGAAGGGAGACCAGCACAATTGAGGTTATGGATTTCAGGAAGGCAGATTTTGATAAGCTCAGAGAACTTGTAGGTAAGGTCCCATGGGAAGCAAGACTGAAGGGAAAAACAACTGAGGAGAGTTGGAAGTATTTCAAAGGGACGTTGTTAAGGGCCCAAAAGCAAACAATTCCGCTGTGTAGGAAAGATAGAAAATATGGCAAAAGACCAGCTTGGCTTAACAAGGAGATCTTGCATGATCTCAAAATAAAAAAGGAGTCATATAAAAAATGGAAACTAGGACAACTAACAAAGGATGAATATAGGCAAGCAACACGGGAATGCAGGGGCAAGATTAGAAAGGCAAAGGCACAAAATGAGATCAAACTAGCTACAGGCATAAAGGGAAACAAGAAGACCTTTTATAAATACATTAAAAGCAAGAGGAAGACCAAGGACAGGGTAGGCCCACTGCTTAGTGAGGAGGGAGAAGCAGTAACAGGGAACTTGGAAATGGCGGAGATGCTCAATGACTTCTTTGTTTCGGTCTTCACCGAGAAGTCTGGAGGTGTGCCTAACGTAGTGAATACAAGCAGAGAGAGGGTAAGTTTAGAAGATAGGATACACAAAGAACAAGTTAAAAATCACTTAGGAAAGTTAGATGTCAGCAAGTCACCAGGTCCTGATGAAATGCATCCCAGGATACTCAAGGAGCTGATAGAGGAGGTATCTGAGCCTTTAGCTATGATCTTTGAAAAATCATGGCAGACAGGGGAGATTCCAGAAGACTGGAAAAGGGCAAATATTGTGCCCATCTATAAAAAGGGGAATAAGAACAACCCAGGAAATTATAGACCGGTCAGTTTAACGTCTGTCCCAGGGAAGATAATGGAGCAGGTAATTAAGGAAATCATATGCAAACACTTGGAAGGTAATAAAGTGATAGGGAATAGCCAGCATGGGTTTGTGAAGAACAAGTCATGCCAAACTAATCTGATAGCTTTCTTTGATAGGATAACGAGCCTTGTGGATAAGGGAGAAGCGGTGGATGTCATATACCTAGACTTTAGTAAGGCATTTGATACGGTCTCGCATGATATTCTTATTGATAAACTAGGCAAATATAACTTAGATAGGGCCACGATAAGGTGGGTGCATAATTGGCTGGATAACCGTAGTCAGAGAGTTGTTGTTAACGGTTCTAAATCCTGCTGGAAAGGGATAACAAGTGGAGTTCCTCAAGGGTCTGTTTTGGGACCCGTACTGTTCAATATCTTCATCAATGATGTAGATATTGGGATAGAGAGTACTCTTATTAAGTTTGCAGATGATACCAAACTGGGTGGGGTTGCAACTTCTTTGGAGGATAGGGACATAATTCAGAATGACCTTAGCAAGTTAGAGAAATGGTCAGAGGTAAACAGGATGAGGTTTAATAAGGAGAAATGCAGAGTGCTCCACTTAGGAAGGAACAATCAGTTCCATACATACAAGATGGGAAGCGACTGTCTAGGAAGGAGCATGGCGGAAAGGGATCTAGGGGTCATAGTGGACCACAAGTTGAATATGAGTCAACAGTGTGATGCTGTTGCAAAAAAAGCAAATATGATTCTAGGTTGTATTAACAGGTGTGTTGTAAGCAAAACTCGTGAAGTCATTCTGCCGCTCTACTCTGCGCTAGTTAGGCCTCAGCTGGAGTACTGTGTCCAGTTCTGGGCGCCACATTTCAAGAAAGATGTGGAGAAATTGGAAAGGGTACAGAGAAGAGCGACAAGAATGATTAAAGGTCTAGAGAGCATGACCTATGAAGCCAGGCTTCATGAACTGGGCTTGTTTAGTTTGGAAAAAAGAAGATTAAGGGGGGACATGATAGTGGTTTTCAAATATCTAAAAGGGTGTCACAAGGAGGAAGGCGAAAATTTGTTCCTCTTGGTTTCTGAGGACAGGACATGGAGTAATGGGCTTAAAGTGCAGCAGGGGAGGTTTAGATTGGACATTAGGAAAACATTCCTAACTGTCAGGGTGGTCAAATATTGGAATAAATTGCCAAGGGAGGTGGTGGAATCTCCCTCTCTGGAGATATTTAAGAACAGGTTAGATAGACATCTGTCAGGGATGGTGTAGGTGGAGCTTGGTCCTGCCTTGAGGGCGGGGGGCTGGACTCGATGACCTCTCGAGGTCCCTTCCAGTCCTATTATTCTATGATTCTATGATTCTATGTAGAGAAGTCATGGAATATTGTTGGGTTTATTTCACTTAGTTAAAATGGTTAATACAGTAAACTATATTTCCATATATCATGTGTTAAGATTTTGAACAAAATGTATTTGATTAGTCTGCCTGCCTTACTGGTGTTTTGAAATTTTTTCTTTTCTCATTTCATTTATATTGCTAGTTCCCTACTGGTGTCTTGATAGTGCAAATGTGGGCACATTAGAAAAGTCGAAGAGATATGTGCATGATGCTTTTAGAAGTCTTTGAAAGGTAGTGTTGGCTTGGTTTAGATTACTTGCTAGGAAAATGCTCCAGGAACAGAATTTGTTCATGTGACTTTGGGGGAGGGAGAGAAAGAGAAAGAGACAGACAGACAGAGTTCTCCTTGGTAAGCTAGCTGCAGATGTCCTGCTTTCTTGCTGATGTAGTCTTTTATTGTGCTGAGTCTCTGCCTTTTTCCCAGCTGTCTTTCCGAGAGTGGCTGCTATTTGAGCTAGAAGTGCAGCCTGAGAAGGATATCCTTTCTGCTTCTGAAAGGTAAGTGCAGAACAGTCCTGTAAAAATGGAAGTCATTCAAAATGCTTTTCCAGTTAAGTGAGAAATATGAGAGACCGTCTTGAGTTTGGAGCTTGATGACCATGTAAATCAAATGGGTTGGGGCATAAACTTCTAATGACCTCTACATCTCAAACACGCACTCAAGATAAGTTAGAACTGATGGTTTGGTTTCCCTTGAGGAAGTGATTTAAGGTAAACTTTGTCCTCCCCCCAAGTCACTAAAGCATCTTTCTGTCTCGACTTTGCCATGCTGCAAGAGATGTTTGCCACAGGCCAACCTGCAAACACTCCATGCCCAGCCTTACCCCGTCTCTGTATTGTTAAAAGTCCCTCAAGGGAGCTGTTAGTTTTTAATCTATTCCTCTGGGAGCAATTCCTTTCTAGTTTCACATAGATGTATCAGACACACAGGGTTGTGGGATAACCTGTTTCTGCCATTCCATGTGACTTGGTGTACTGTGTGCTCTTTAAAACATGGAGAGGAAGCACTAGAATATGATATAAATCCAGTCTTCCTTTGTTCAATATTGCAGGCAGGACTTCCATTACTGGGCATTGTACCAGTGGTATCTTCCAGCCACCTCTGTTTCTGGAGGCTGTGATGGAGACCTGGAAAAGGCATGTGGTGTTCTTATTGGTACAATTCTGGATTTCTTCCAAAGGTACTTTCTCATTACACTTTCACAGCAGTGACCGTTTCTCGGTGCATATGGGGCTAACAGGGTAGAGCAGCGTTTGACTGTAACAGCATAGTTGGGAAAGGTTTATGTGTTGGGTTTTAACGCACACATAGGCCCACCTGTCCCATTGACTCGTGCCGGAGCAATGCCATAGAACGTTGCCTCTCGCTCACTCCTTCGTAGCGGGCATGTGGAGTGTGTCTAACCATTTCCTAATGCTGTGGATGTCCAGTCTACCCAGTGTTTGATTTTTTTTTGAGGCATAAGGGAACTTGTGCAAAACGGTTTTTTTGCGCAAAACGGCCCCGTCTACACTGCTTGTTTTTGTGCAAAAACCTCTTCCGCCAAAAGCATCGGCAGAGCATATGCAAATACCAGCGCGACAAATGCTAACGAGCGTTTCATTTGTCTCTGCAGACAAAAGGCTGCGGTGTAGATATAGCCTCAGTTACAGTGAGCTTGCTGCAAATCATGGCTTTCAGGGCTTCAGCTGAGCTGACCATTTCCTCCCTCCTTTTCTGCCAGCACCTTTTTTTAAAATCTCCTCAGCATCTTTTGATCTCTTCTCTAGCCTTAGGAAGAGAAAATCATCCTCATGTGGGTGGTGTCAGCCAGGTAGCCTCCTTCCCACCATTGAGGGCCCAGCCATTGTTGTGTGTAGTGGGTCTTATCTGTGTCATTGTTCTGCTCGTCCTGGGTTCCTTAACAGCCTTTCTTCGCAGCCTCCTTTGATTCCCCTAGATGTATTCAGTTAGGCATAAATCTGTCTGGATAGTTTAGAAACGTGCCTCTGTTTGTCTGTTCAACAACTCCTCTGAAACGGTAAAAGCTGGGGCCACCACATTTTGGTAGGCAGCTTCCTCTTCTCCTAACTTAAAGCAAGGTCAGGATTTGGTTTGTGCCAAGAAAACAGGAAGTGCCGAGAATGGGACTGTTTTCCATAACATGAAAAGGGAGGGGCGGGGCGGGGGGCAGTACAGTACTGAGAGTGGCTGTTTGGGGCAGTGAGTGCAAGGGAAAGCTATATGCAGAGTAGCTGCTGGAGGCAGCTGCCCCACCAAGAGAGTGGCCAGAAGAGCTGGGTCTCCACCAGACCGGGTAAGTAGCCCCCGTGCTGCAAATCTGGGGAGTCAGGAACGGAGACGGAAGGTCCCTGGCGGCTGGGAGGGTGGGAG